GGGGTCTTTGCTGACCGCTGTTCGGCTCCCGTGCCTTTGCCATCCCTGTGACCTCTCCACCCAGCCTGGGCTTTGATGACCTCTCTTTGTCTCTGTCTAACACAGTGTTTCCCTCCTGGATGGACAGTGCTCATGGGCCTCTGGCTTCCCTCTGGCCTGCCTAAACATGGCTGTCTTTGGCTATGAGGCACTGTCGCAAGACCCAAAGCAGGACACATTACGGTGAGGAGCCTCCTTCATGTGAGGAGGTGTGTGGCTCTGCAGACCCTGAGTCCCTCCTCCCTCCTTCCTCCTTGATAGCAGGCAGTCCTTCCTGAACCCTGAAGAGGAGGCGACCTCAGCCACAAGCATCTCCAGCAGGACATAGTCCACGGCTGGGTAAAGAAGGGTTCAGAGGATTATAATCAGAGAAAAATACAAGGGCACTTGGTTACTTTTTCATTAGTGGATGTTTCAGAAGTTTGTCCTGTACTCTCCTTGATTTAAAAATTCATTTCTCAAAGGCTGTGCTGGTCGTCAACCTTTTCCCAACCCAGCACCCTTGAGAGGCCCACTCCCATCAGGAACAGCCTCTGAGAATGTCAGGGAGTCTCAGGCTGGGGTGTGATTATCTCCAAGGGCACGGTTAGCTTGATAGGAAACAGCTTCTTCATTTTCCTCAGAGGGAAAGCATTTAAGAGTGTGTTTCCAAGGTTCAGCTGCTCGTCTAATAACAATAATAATTACCTTAATGTTCTTTAATAGGGGGTTAGTTAAACAAATTATGGTACATCCTTGGTACATGATGCAGCCATTAAATTAAATGAAGTAGAACAATACAGTGTACCTGTTTCTCCCGCTATCCGAAAGTAGAGTGTTCCTACGAAACGTGAAATGACATTCAGTGAAGAAGCGATTACCATTAATTTGTATAGAAAATTTTTTGATCATTCCCATACCCCCCCCCCCAAAATAAGCTCTTTTAGGCACTTCTGATACCTTAGGACACGTCTTGCTCACCGATGCACAAAATAAATCACAGCTATGGCGGCTTGAGGCTGCGACACTGGGTGCAGTTCCCAGAGATGGCGCTTGGTGGCGCCACTCAGGACTGGGGGTGTGCTGCCTCCATGAGGACTGCTGCCAAAGAAACCCTAGAGGCTATTTTTGCTTTTCGTCTTTTTTCCTTAAAAGTGAAAATCCTCTTTGGATTTCTTTTGGTTAGCGAGAACAGGTACTGTAGGTCTTTCATAAAAGTGAAGTGGTGGTTTTGTGAGTGGTGCAGCTTGGGGTGGGGGCTTGCTGTGCCGGATTTTGGACCTGCAGGGCAGTGCCCAGTTGCATCTGGAATTAAAAACATGTCTCTGGATGCGAGCCAAAAGTGCATGTCCATACTGGCCACCTCTCCTGGGGAGGGAGAAAGGTCTGCCAGAGCAAGTTTCCTGGAACACCGTGGCAAAGCCACAGGGATACTGCAGGGATGAGGCTAAGGCTGGAATTACAATTTCTGGGAGAGGCACGGTTCAGAACTGGATGTTCCAAGTAGAGAGCAATTGTGTGAGTCACTAAATTGAGGAAGTCTCTGAGACTCCCTTGTGGAATCAGAGTAGGCTGGTTCAGGGCCAGCAAGCTGCTCGCCCACCAGCACTGCTTTGGGGCCTGAACATCTGGGAAACACCAGAAGAGACTACTTTCCACTGGAGAGATCTGCAGCGAGCTCTGTACTGGGGAGCAGAGACAAGGTTCGGGGAGGGCTTAGAACAGGCTACAGAAACAGCACAAGGATGAATAGGGAGATGCGTCTGTGTGAGCATTTTCAAGGCCCCACCCAAAGGAGGACTTGGCAGGAGGGCATTTCTGGGCAGCTTGCCCTCACTGCTCTGAAATGAGCATATGGCAGGGCGGATAGCAACTGGGATGGATATGTTGAATTTATAACCTTACAGCAGGAACTGGGGGAATGTTGATGTCTCCCAAAATTATTGCAGTGTGCCTTCTGCCTGGTACCCAAAGAACAAGGCGTGGGGATCCATGCATGCTCTCACTGAGCTCCTGATGCAATGACATGCAGCTAAAAATCAGTAAACCACAGCGTACTGGCCCTTATTGTTTCCCTGGGGTACCACCTAACGTGAGTGCCAATGGGCTGAGGAAGAAAGAGAAGGAGCGCTAGTAGCCAACCCAAGAAGCAGGAGTGACAAATGGAGCTCAGATCTGAGAAGTCCAGGCAGGCCTCAGTCCAAGCCAGCACAGTTGTGGCTCTACACTTTGAGGACAGATCTCTGACTTTGCAGGTCTTGTGGGTGTAGACAAGCAGGTTCCGAGGCCCAGGACTCTCCAGCAACGGAAAGGAGTCTTTTTGCTTCTCAGGTAGCGGGAGAGTCAATAAATGACGGCGTTGTATTCTAGCCATTCACCCTCTGACATTTTACCCTGTGAATGAGATAACCCTAAAAACCCAGGGGGTCGGAAATGGCTTTGTATTAGGTGTCCATTGCTGAGTAACAAATTAGCCCAATAACTAGTAGCTTAAGACAATAATAATTTGTTATCTCTCAGTGTTTCTGTGGCTCCGAAATTCAGACTCAGCGCTGTGGGGATGGCTTGTGTCTGCCCCACGATGTCTGGGGCCTTAGCTGGAATTATCAGGAGGCTCATCCCCTCACATGGCTAACTCTTGATGCTGACTGTAGGCTGAAGGCCCCAAAACTGACACATGGCCTCTCCATGTGGCCTGGGCTTCCTCAGAATATGGTGGCTAGGTACCAAGACAAGGGTCCTAAGAGAGAGAGCCAAGTAGACACTATATCCTTTATATGCGCTACCTTCAGAAGTCACAGAGTTTCACTTCACCATACTGCATTTATTAGAAGTCACTAACCCATATTTAAAGTAAGGATTAGGGGGCACCTGGGTGGCTCGGTCATTAAGCATCTGCCTTTGGCTCAGGTCATGATCCCAGGGTCCTGGGATCAAGCCCCGCATCGGGCTCCCTGCTCCGTGGGGAGCCTGCTTCTCCCTCTCCCACTCCCCCCTGCTTGTGTTCCCTCTCTCACTGTCTCTCTCTCTCTGTCAAATAAATAAAATCTTTAAAAAAAATTTTTTTAAAAAAGGAAGGATTAGGCTCCATTTTCTGTGGACCTATTTTAAAACTACCGTAAGACTTGGCAGGGCACCTGGGTGGTGCAGTTGGTTAAGTGTCCGTGATCTTATGGTTGTGAGATTGAGCCCTGTTGTTGGGCTCTGTGCTCGGGGCAGCGCCTGCTTGGGATTCTCTCTCTCCCTCTCCACTGCTCCTCTCTGCGTGCTTTCTCTCTCAAATGAATGAATAAATCTTAAAAAAAACCCCAAAAACCCAAAAAACTATCATAGTCCTCATAGTTACATGGATGATGACAAATAGAAACATTTAAAAGCTGTTGCTCCCCACATCCCCTTTTCCTCACCATAGCTAAGATGTTGACGCTCACAGGGGTAGAGACTAAAAGATGTCATTAAGCTTGGCTCTCATGGTGCCCTTCCATCCCCAGCCTAGTAATGAAGGATAGTTGGGAGAAAGGCAGGCAGGGACAAGGGGCCCCCGCCCTAAGAGGAAACCACCCTGAAAAGGACTTTACACCACCTGGAAGGAGCCCTCTGCCCTTTCGCAGCTGAACAACTACCTGATAGGTTGATGAGCCCATGGATAAAATCCTGATTGGGTGACAGGCACATGGAAGGCTAATCAGATTAAAACAGCCCACCAACAATCTCATAAAAACCCCTAGATTTAGAAACTCCCGATTGCAACCCTCTCGGGCCCCCTCCCTCTTTGGGAGCTTTGTACTATTGTTCAATAAACTTTGCTTTGCTGCCCACCACTCTTCGTCTGGTCTACCTCGTCATTCTTTGAAGCGGCATGACCAAGAACCATGGGCACTGAAGGAAGAAGGAAATCCTTTAACACTAGTAACTGAGAAGGTGGGATGAAGGATTCACTCAGGCTCTAGCTAGTAGTACCCACAGAATTGCCATAGAGGAATTAAATATGGTCCTAAGAAGATCATGATGTGAGGAAGGAAGTTTTAGCCTGTAAAGGGGGGGATACTTCATAGGAGGCATCATTAGACATTGGATGTCTTTTTGAGAAGGTCCTAAAAGTCAACAGAGGGTGAGGGGGACTGGATAAAACCTATTAGCATTTGATCCTGGCCTCTGGAATAATCTAGCTATTTAAATTGCAAGCACCTAAACACAGCTTCTTAGCTTGTTTGAGCTTTAGTTTTCTCATCCATAAAATGTGAATGAGGACAACACCCATCTGGTAGTTTGCATGAGAATTAACTTAGATGAGACAGCTTTTCTTATGTGAGCGAAGGATCAAGAGAAAAAAAAGAGAAACCAGGACTCACGCTGAGGGAGTTTTTCTAGGGAATTTTGGAAAAACAAAATGCAGAATAGCTCAGGTATGTGAGCCAAGTGGATGGGAGAGAAAAGTAAGATTTTTAAGACAAATCTTTCATCTGGTTAAATAATGCAATTATGAGCTTGAGTTTATTTTTAACTTTTAGTTGTTGAGGTTTTTTTTTTTTTGGTCAGGACACCACTCAGATTCTGGACCATCTGGAGACAGTCTTATATGTGTTACATATTTTATATATGTTACATATTTTTAACTAAAACTAAGGCTGTTGGTACAGCATTCTTACATTTGTGCAGGTTTTTGCATAGAAAATTTCTAGAAGAAATACGAGCAACTATTGACAGTAATTTTCTCTGGGCTGAGAGAGAGACTATTTTTCATTTTATATCCTTTGGTTCTACTAAATTTTTCTTCAACCTGGGTATGTACCACTTTTTCAACCTACTTAGCATAAGTTAGGTGGTTTTATGTTTTGAATAGTCATTTATTAACCATTAACTATCTGTGTTAGGAATTTTTTTTTAAGGAGGCTCCATGCCCAGTGTGGAGCCCAAAGTGGGGCTTGAACCCACAACCTTGAGATAGGACTTGAACTGAGATCAAGAATCAGATACTTAACCAACTGAACCACCCAGGCACCCCTGCGTTAGGAATTTTCATGTATTGTATCTGATCTTTCCAACAACTTTTCAAGATTGGTTTCATTATATCCTATTTTATAGATAAGCAAACTCTATATAGAGAGATTTTTAAGAGAGAAAAATACTTTAAGGAATTGGCTTATGTGATTGTGGAAACTAGCAAATCCGAAATCCTTATGGCAGGCCAGCAGGTTGGAAATTGGGATAAAAGCGGAATTTGCAGTCTTGAGTCTGAATTCAGCATGGCAGTAGGCTAGAAACTCAGTCAAGGTTTCTATGCTGCAGTCCTGAGAAGAATTTCTTCTGGAAACCTCAGTCTTTGCTCATAAGGCCATCAGCTGATGGGATGATGCCCATCCACATTATGGAGTGCAATCTGCTTTAATCAAAGTGTACTGATTGTAAATGTTAATCACCTCTAAAAATATGTCTTAAAACTACATCTAGAATGGTGTTGACCAGACAACTGGACGTCATAGCCTCCCCAAGTTGACTCAAGATTAACCATCACAGTGAGTTGGACAAAATTTTACAGCTAGTAAGTGGATAGACCAGGAAGCTAGATATCTCTGGGGTCAAAGGCCAGAAGTGGGTGAGCAAACTGTACACAGAGAGTACACAGTTGGCCGGTTGTCTTGGATAGGGGGTGGGCCAATGAGAGGGTAAAGTTGCACTCCATAGAGATAATCTCTGGGCCAGAGGAGCTCTTCTAAGCTTCTAGACTGAGTTACAGTGCCAACTAACTATGGGATACTAGGCAAGTCACACCTCTTTGGGTCCATTTTGTTTATTATTTCTCTTCTGAAGGGAGGGATTGGAGTAGATGGTCTTTTAGGTTCTTTCAAGCCATACATGCTAATATTCAATGCTACAAAGAGGAAACACAAATTTATACTATAACACTGTATCACTACATACCCACCAGAATGGCTAAGCATAGGAAGACTGAAAATACCAAGTTTTGGAGAGAATGTGAAACAACTAGAACTCTCATAAATCAGCAGCGGGAGTACCTGTTGGCACAACTACTTAGACATTCACCAGGAGATACTGTAAGAGCTAACTATATTCCTACTCTATCATCCAGCAATTACATTCCTGCATACCTCAGACCCAAAAGAGACAAGCACATTAGTCCCAAAAAGGCATGCATAAGAATGAGCATAGGAAAAAAAAAAAAGCAAAAGTGGGGAGAAGTTAATTAAGTTTAAATGAAGTCATAAGGGGAGAACCTACTTCAATAGGACTAGTGTTCTTATAAGAAGAGGAAGAGATACCACACACACACAAAGGAAAGGCCATGTGAGGACTTAGGGAAAAGGCAACCAACCATCTACAAACCAGGAAGAGAAGGTTCATCAGAAAACCAATCCTGATGACACCTTGATCTTGGACTCCTAGCCTCCAGAACTGTGAGAAAATAAATTTCTGTTATTTAAACTAAAGGAGAAGAAAAGGAGAAGAGGAAGGAGAAGGGGAAGGGGTTAACAAAGTTACAACATACATATAGTGAAATTCACAAATTTTACTGATTTTTTGCATATGAATAAACCTGTGTAATTACTACCCAACTCAAGAACATTTCCAGCATCCCAGCAGATTCCTTTGTGCCCATTCTCAGCCAATACTCCCCAAGGGCAACCACCGTTCTAACCTCTACCACTCCAGGTAAGTTTTACCTATTTTTAAACTTAGCATAAATGGAAGCTGGTATTTGGAGTCTGTTTTTTCCCCCACACTTAATAATACCTGAGATTTACCCATGTTGTTGCATGTAAACAGTAGTTGGTTCTTTTTTATTATGGTGTAATATTTCATTGTATAAATATGTCCCCCAATATTTATCCATTCTACTGATAAACATTGGGTTGTTTCCAGGTTTTAAGTGTTATAAATATATATGAGTAAAGCTTCTGTGCACATTCCTTTTCTCTCTTTTTTTAAGATTTTATTTATTTATTTGACAGAGAGAGAGAGGGAACACAAACAGGGGGTTGGGAGAGGGAGAAGCAGACTCCTCACTGAGCAGGGAGCCCGATGCAGGGTTTGATCTCAGGACCCTGGGATCATGACCTGAGCTGAAGGCAGACACTTAACCGACTGAGCCATGCAGGCACCCCAGTTGTTATTCTCTTGATGCAACTGAAGATTGGAGGCTTGGGGAAGGACCCCCAGCCAGAGTGGCTTCAGCTCAGAAGGCCAGCTCCCAGGTTCTGCTGCCCCGCTCTTATTTCAGGGCACTTGATCAACAGGAGGTGTGTTTGATTGTAGACAGCTCATTCCATTTCCCTCAAGAAATAGTATTTTCTTCTCTTGCCTGATGGGTTGATTACCTTTCAGACAGGATTAGTGGGGTTGATGCCATTAAGTAAAAAGTCATCTCTTTTGGAAACAGTCCAGAATGTCTGGATTCCATTTTTAAAAGCCTCAGATCCCATTAAGATGTAATAGAACTATGTGGATTCAGATTCAATGGGAGAAGACAGAACTCTGAGTACCGGCCGGCTCATGTGGACAACTGGGGAGTGGGAGGAGGAAGGTGGTAAATGAGGAAAATATAATTTGTCAGTAAGATCAGAGAATTCTCAGCAACTCTCTTTCTCAAGAACAAGGGATCAGAAAATCAAATACTGTCCATCTGTCATGGACTGGCTAAATAAATTACAGTACACCTATGCCATGAAATTATGTACATCCCATGAACTTAGAGTTACACCAGTGCCCTTGGGTGGATTTCTGCCAGCAAAGTACTTTAACTTTTCAAGTATCTAAAATATGATCTTATCATATAAAACAATGACAAACAACGTCCCCATTTCTGTACATGAGTACTTATGTCCATATGCCTGTATATGAATCTACATGTATAGAAAGAAACATACCAAGTTGTTAATATAGTTCCCCCGGAAGGATTTGGAGTGGTAGTGGGGACTGAAGAGGGTAGAGGAGAAAGGAGACCACAACAAACAACCAACAAGTATGATGTGATCACGTCTGTGTTTATGTAAAAATGAATAAGGAGGCAGGAATTATACTACGTATTGTATCTCTGCAGTCGCTAGCCCTGACCCCAGCATTGCAAAGAACAGAGGAAGACTCTCCCTATCAGAGGCTTAATCTCCTTTTGGGGAAACAAGGCATAAACCTATACAGCACTTGGTGAACATGTCCACATAATTCAACATTCTCATTCTCTCGCTCCTGTATTCCTACCACTCTATCACACTGTTTATTTAACAAGCATTTCCTGAGCCCACACTAGGTTCTAGGCACAATCACTACTCAAAGGAACATTTCTAGTTGTGGAAAATATAATTAGAGATGGGTACATAGAGATGCTAAGACAATATTTATTGAATGGGGTTAAAGTAGCTATAATTTAGACAGAAAGAGGTGCTACGTAAGATTTTGTCATTATTGTCTTTGCAACCCATCACATCACACTCCAATGAGACCTTACTACTTATCTAGTCTAACTTCCATCTTCTATATCTGGGGAAGCTGAGGCCCAGGGTAGGGTAGAGTTGCAATCCCAACCCACGGCTCAAGAACCAGTCTTGTTTCTTGCCACCATACTAGGAAGTCTTCAGGCAGAACTGAGAGCAGATAATGCCTGAGAGTGAAGCATTTGCCATTTTAGTCATCTTTCATATGAGGCAGCTAATATAATGGGGGAAACGTGGTGCTATGGGTTGATTTGTGTCCCCCCAAAAGATAGGTTCAAATCTTAGCTTCTGGAACGTGTGAATGTGACCTTATTTAGAAATAGAGTCTTTGCAGATATAATCAAGTCAAGATGAGATCATACAGGATGAGGGTGGTCTCTAAATCCAATATGCTGGTGTCCTTATAAGAAGAGGGACATTTGGGCACAGAGATACAGACGCAGGGGAGAAGGCCAAATGAAGATGGAGGCAGAGGTTGGAGTGATGTATCAGTAAACCAAGGAGCACTAAGGTTTACTGGCAACCACCAGAAGCCAGAAGAGGCAAGCAAGGATTCTTCCTTAGAGCCTCAGAGGGAAATGGCCCTGCTGACACTGATTTCGGACTTAAACACCTTCCAGAACTGCAGAAGAATATATTTCTATTGTTTGAAGCCACCCAGTTTGTGGTACTTTGTTATTGCAGCCACAGGACAATAACACACATGGGTTGGAATTTGTTAGATATGGGGTAAAATCTGGTTTTTGTTACTTACAGGTTGGGTGATCTTGGGCAAGTCAACACACTGGATCCATGGATTTTTTTATCTGTACAACAGGACAATAGCAGAATCTCACCTGCTGTGAGGATTAAACCAGGTAATTTAGGTATGGCACCCAGCTTTCTGATCCCTTGGCTGAACTCTGAGAGAGGGAATGGACCAGGCTGGGCAGCAGGCTTGAAGCGCCTCTTCCCTCTTCCCCATGTGCAGTGAGGCTGGCCAATCCTTCATCTTTTCAGCTGTAATTAACCTGCAGTAGTGGCTGGCATGTTGTAGAATAATGATGCTGGTGGCTAACGTTTGTCCCTCTCCGACATCAATAACAACTTCACTCTTTGTCTAAAGAGTGACTGCTCTAGAAATATTGGGTTCAAGCTGATGAGAGAGGAGATTGGTTTGAGATAGAAGACCCTGGTTCTATTCCTGGCTTGGAGACATGCTCTGTGACTTTGGAATTTGCATCCCGGTGGAAAAACAATACCGCCTTCTGCCTAGTTTGTTTGTTTGTTTTGCAAGCCCTTTGAATAATGGGGCAAAAGAGTTAATAAAACCACAAACTGATTCAGCTATAAATACAGACGGAAATTTGGATTCACCTTCTAGAGTAGAAGAAAGACCAAATTCCCCCCATTTCTGTATGTATCTGTGAAATATTTTTTGAATAATCGCTAGGATCTGAGGACACAAAGCTGAATAAGGCAGAGTCCCCTGTGCCCAAGTCCTCACAATCTGATGTGGAAGACAGAATGTTGTAAGTTCATGGGCTCATGAGATCTTTCAGAAGCTGCGATCCTGCTGAAAAAGAGCTGGAGGTTTCTGGAGCTGAAGGTAGCAGGCAGGAGGTTCAGGGAAGGCCTTTTAGAGGAGAAAATCCTATGCCATTTTTCCATTGCTGGTTGTAAAAAGTGATTCTGGTCTCGGGGTTTCAAGAAGAGGTTATCACAATGGAGGTTGAAATCACCTCCAATTTACCCGCAATATATGAAAAACCCTTTATCTCCCTCTGCTTTAAGCCTTCTTAAAAATGAGGTGCCTAGAAAACTTATGGCCACAGAAAAACCTGCACATGGATGCCTGAGATAACAGAAAAATATATATTGGTCTCTACCTCCCACCCCCTGCATTTCTGACATAGAACTCCTGAAACCCTTGACATTCTCTGGATGATAAGGGCATGAGGAGCATCTTTCGTTTAATCTAACATTTGGTCTTTGATCCTGGTTCCTGACATCGGGCTTCTGAAAACCTGGCAAATTCCTGGATGATAGGAGTATTTTTGTCCTAATGACGTTCCTGGATGCTTCCTGGGGAGGAGGGAGAAGGGCTGAAAATGGAGTTTCTGATCCATCATGACTATATAAAATCCCAATATATTTTCGGGCTTGAGGAACTTCACGATGAGTGAACACATCCACACTGGGAGGGTGACACACCCCAGCTCCACAGGGACAGAAGCTCCTGTGCTTGGGATGCTCCCAGACCCCTGCACGTCTCTTCATCTGGCTGTTCATCTGTATCCTTTAACATATCTTCTGATAAACTGGTAAATATTAAGTGTTTCCTTGGGTTATGTAGCCACTCTAGCCAATTAATCAAACCTGAGGAGGGAATCATGCAAATCTCTGATGTGTAGTCAAATTGGACAGAAGTTGTGAGTAACCTGGGGACCTACTATTTGTGATTGGCATCTGAAGTGGGATGGAAACAGTCTTGTGGGACTGAGCCCTTAGCCTGTGGGATTGGACACTGTCACCAGGTAGAAGGTTTAGAAATGAGTTAAATTGTAGGACACGCGCCTGGTGTCATGGATGATGGCTTCATGTGGGGAAAAACCTCCACACATTTGGTGACCTGAAGTGTCAGAAGTGAAGTGTTCTCTGTGAAGGTAAAAGAGCCATACAATATAAAGATACAGTGCAGGGGAGGGAAGAGAGAGAAAAGCTGAATTTTTCCTGTTACAGGATGTGTGTAGCAGCTTTGTCCATAATTGCCAAAATGATGTCCTTCAGTGGGTGAATGGATCAGTTAACTGTGGTACATCCAGACAATGGAATATTTTTCAGTGCTAAAAAGAAATGAGCTAGTGGGGGTACCTGGGTGGCTCAGTCGGTTAAGCAGCTGCCTTCAGCTCAGGTCATGATCCTGGCGTCCTGGGATTGATCCCCACATGGGGCTCCATGCTCAGCGGGGAGCCTGCTTCTCCTTCTCCCTTTGTGCCTCCCCCCCCCAACGTGCTTGCTCACTCTCTCTCTCTCTCAGATAAATAAATAAAATCTTAAACAAACAAAAAAGAAATGAGCTATCAAACCATGAAAAGACATGAAGGAAATTTAAATGCATATTACTAAATGGAAGAAGCCAATCTGAAAAGTCTATATGCTGTATGATTCCAACTGCATGATATTCTGGAAAAGGCAGAACTATAGAGACAGAAAAAAGATCAGCGGTGTCAGGAACTGGAGGGGAGGGGAGGATGAACAGGCAGAGCACAGAAGATCTTTAGGGCAGGGAAAGTATACTGTGTGATACCATCATGCTGGAAATATGTCATTACACATTTGTCCAAGCCCACAGAACATCCAACACCAGGAGTGAACCTAATGTCAACTATGGACACTGCATGATTTTGGTGCCTCAAATAGCCTCATTGATTTTAACCAACGTACCACTCTGGAGGGGCTGTTAATATGGGGGAGGTCATTTGTGAGTGCAGGTAGGTTTATATAGGAACTCTCTGTACTTTCGGCTCAATTCTGCTGCAAACCTAAAATTGCAAACTTAGAGTCTATTTTATTTTATTTATTTTTATTGTTTTAAAGATTTTATCTATCCATTCGACAGAGAGAGACACAGTGAGAGAGGGAACACAAGCAGGGGGAGGGGGAGAGGGAGAAGCAGGCTTCCTGTTGGAGCAGGGAGCCCGATGCGGGGCTTGATGCCAGGACCCTGGGATCATGACCTGAGCCGAAGGCAGATGCTCAACAACTGAGCCACTCAGGCGCCCCTAGAGTCTATTTTAAAAAAGAGAGAGAGAGAGATGCCAGTGCTCATCTCTTGATAAACTGAAGAATGCCTCTCTTAGCTCTCTCTTCTCTGATCACCAAACTGTCTCCTGTGAACAGTGGCCATTGGATGGGATTACCCTGAGTGCCCGGTGGAGGGAAAGAGATGTCCATATGCAAGGGAAGAAGAAATGCTGACTGCAGTCTGGAGCCTGTTAGCTTGAAAACACCAAGGTGCTCTTCAGGAATCTTGTCTGACAAGGGGTCAGCAGGGGGCGCCCTCGGTAGCACGAGCACCCACCCCTGTATACTGTCGCGGAAAGAGGAGCGCCCATCAGTTTGTCAATGTCACCCCGAAATGAAAGTGCCTGGATGGTGGCAGAACCCCCTGCTGAGGTGAAAGGGTCAGTAATTCCAGGGCTGTGGGCTGGACGGCAAAAAGGGACCCAGAGATGAGGAAGGGGAAATGTTACAGTGGCCCCTTTCTTGAAGGCGGTGAAACCAGAGGGAAAGAGCGAGGCAGCTGTGGCCGGAGGGTGTTGTCCCCGCTCTTCCCCGCATCTTCCCCGCCTCCTTATCATTGATGGAGCTGTTGTGCTAAGCACTTCACATGCGTTTCTTAATCTTCCACTTAGAGTCTGGAGATGAACCCACTCTTAGGAGCTGTGCGATCCCGAACCTCTGTTCCCAATTGTGAAATGGGGACATTAGCACCTGCCCCAGACCACTTTCCTTCCTTTTTAATTTAATTTTTATTTTATTTTCCATAGAAAGCAGAATAACTTATTCCAAAGGAAGGCAGAGATAAGAAATTCATCCTGAAAAAAATACTTTGGCGTAATTCTGTTGGGACAGACCTTCCCTCTGTGAACACGCCCTCCTGTTGACTGGCCCGCTGGAGGCTTAATGTCTTGTGACAGTTTTTATTTATTTATTTTTAAAGATTTTATTTGTTTATTTGACAGAGACACAGCAAGAGAGGGAACACAAGCAGGGGAGTGTGAGAGGGAGAAGCAGGTTTCCTGTGGAGCAGGGAGGCCGATGAGGGGCTCTGTCCCAGGACCCCGGGACCATGACCTGAGCTGATTAACAACTGAGCCACCCAGGCGCCCCTTGTGACAGTTTTTAAACACTTCGCCGATTCCCATGTTGGGAGTAGGCAGGAGCCACCTTCAAATCCACAGATTTCAAGGCGAGAGTAACGTTATTTCTCAGAATAACACCTTCTATCTCAGAAGATTGCATACACTTTTTGTGGAGTTGGCAGAATTTAGGTTAAGTAGGCACATAATTCATCAGAGTGTTAAAAAGGTGGCAGGAAAAAAATACCACACTGTGGACTAAGGTATTCAAATGTGGCGTGAATATTTAAGGCAGCTGGTCCCAGTGACTGAGGGCACTGCCAAGTGCAGGCTCCTCCTGGGGCAGCCCTCTGTGACTCCTGACACTTCTCCTCACCAGCTCCTGTCGCCCCCTTGCGGTCGATCGTACCTCTTGCGTGGCCTTCGGGGGAGAATTTAAAGAACTTAATGAGAACTTAAAGACCCACCATTTTGTATTTCCCTGATGCTGAGTGATGTTGAGCGTTTGTTTCATGTCTCTGTTGGCCATTTGTAGGTCTTCTTTGGGAAATGTCTGTTCACGTCTTCTGCCACAATGAGAGGCCACCTCACACCAGTCAGAATGGCTAAAATTAACAAGTCAGGAAACAACAGATGTTGGCGGGGATGCGGAGAAAGGGGAGCCCTCCTACACTGTTGGTGGAAATGCAAGCTGGTGCAGCCGCTCTGGAAAACAGTATGGAGGTTCCTCAAAAAGTTAAAAATAGAGCTTCCTGCGGCCCAGCAATTGTACTACTAGGTATTTATCCAAAGGATACATAGTGAACCGAAGGGGCACGTGCACCCCAATGTTTATAGCTGCAATGTCTACAATAGCCAAACTGTGGAAAGAGCCCAGATGTCCATCGACAGATGAATGGATAAAGCAAATGTGGTATATGTATGCAATGGAATATTTCCCAGCCATCAAAAAGAATGAAATCTTGCCATTTGCAATGACGTGGATTGAACTAGAGGGTATTATGCTAAGCTAAATAAGTCAATCAGAGAAAGACAAATACCATATGATTTCACATGTATGTGGAATTTAAGAAACAGGGCAGAGAATCATAGGGAAAGAGAGGAAAAAATGAAAGAAGATGAAACCAGAGAGGGAGATAAACCATAAGAGATTCTTAATCTTAGGAAACAGAATGAGGGTTGCTGGAGGGGAGGGGGTTAAGAGGAAGGGATAATTGGGTGATGGGCATTAAGGAGGACAATTCATGTAATGGGCACTGGGCACATGCAACTGATAAACAGCTGGACACTTGATGTAAGGGGCACATTGCAACTGATGAACCATTAAATCTACCCCTGAAACTAAAACACAAAGACCCACCATCTCAACATCTGCTCTGTGCCTGCCATTACACTAGAGCTCTAACACCTCATCTCACTGAACACACGGCTCCCACCAACTACACATGAGAGATTCAATTTTCCCATTTCACAGACAAGGAAACTGAGGATCAGAGAGTTTAGGTCCCTGAACTAGGACTCAAAGCCAGGCCCGTGGGTGCACTTTTAGGATCAATGGCCACAGTACAACAGGCTCTCAGACCGTTGGTCCCCTGCCCCTAAGCTCACAGGCCTGCTCTAAGAACCAATGACTGGGTATTTCTAAATTTTTTTTTTTTAAGATTTTATTTATTTATTTGAGAGAGAGAGAATGAGAGATAGAGAGCACATGAGAGGGGGGAGGGTCAGAGGGAGAAGCAGACTCCCTGCCGAGCAGGGAGCCTGATGTGGGACTCGATCCCGAGACTCCAGGATCATGACCTGAGCTGAAGGCAGTCGCTTAACCAACTGAGCCACCCAGGCACCCCCAATGACTGGGTATTTCTAAACAACAAAATGAAAGCAGGACTTTGTAAATGTAGGCAGCTTAAAAATGTACCTCTATTTTTTAAGTTGATGTTTTAAAACTAAGAAAACATCACAAGTTTTACGTTCTCGTGTATAGTCTTGTTTAGACTAGGATGACAAAAAATGTTCAACAAAACCATTGCTACAATTCCCCCAAATCGTTTATTTACAAGCATCCTCAAATTTGTTTTTATGGTACTGATGCAGTTTTGAATGTCAGATGACAGTCTGCAGAAAATCAAAATAGAGTTTGTTGGGAAGAAAAAAAAACAACTAAACATCAACAGGACATCATTTCACCCACATGGGAGGTATTCAATAAAAAATACAAAGAATGCTTTTCTGGTTCTGGTGGTGGTCACCTGTGGCCTGTGTTCTCCGTCTGCCCTGCATCCCCCCAGTGCTGCCTCCTCTGTGCACATCTGCACCGGTTCCTGGTTTCATTTCTTCAGTTCCCTCTCCGGTGGGCATTGATGCTGTTCAGTTGTGCCTTCCAGAAGCTGGGGATGAAGGACCCTAGGTTGGAGGAGAGGGCTGCAGGTGAGGTCCCCTGGCCAGGGCCAGCTTCGTGCACATGTGAGCCCGCGCCGTCACACAGGCCCCCATGGCTCCTAAGGGAGCCCCTGCTCTGGGATTCGATGCTCTTGCAGTTGCTGCCCTGAAATTCTTAGTCGTTTTGTCTTTCGGACAGTGGAGCTTCATCTCCTTCTCTGAGCCCTGGGGCTCTAGTCCCTACGTGGCCTGCCCCTCCCACCCCTGGCCCCCAGCCACTGCTGTCCTCTGCCCAGGGTGGCTCCTAGGTCACTTGGCATGGACTCGAGGGTCTAAGTACAGGCATGAGGAGGGTCAGGGTGGGGCCACATCTCATGGGACCTCAGGGTGGGGGTCAGCAGCTGTCCCCCTTCAGGGCTGGGTTTGGTGGCTTGGCCAGAACCTTCTGCCTCCCCTTGCTGGAGGTACAAGGTACAAGGTACAATACTCTGCATTCTTGTGCAGAGCCCGGAATCCCTGAGTGTCATGCGGCCTCTGATTGGAGATGGGAGCCAGCAGACTGTGGGAAAGGGAGCATGACTTCCCTGACCCAACAGACGCCCTGCAGTTTTATTTGGCATGGAGCCCACAAGTGATGTAGCAGGCTTTCCCCCTGGCTACTTCTTCCTGTCCTTCAGTGAGCATCAGGGTCCCCAGGTTGCGTGTCATTCCTTCCCTGCCTCCCGGATGCCCCTCCCACTGTCCTCCTTTGCCACCTCCGGTCTCTTCAGAGCTCTATTTAGATGCCCCCTGGGCCGGCCCCACACTAGCCCCTGCCGGTGCCCCCTTCCTGTCTCTGCCTTCTGCACTGAATGTGCCCGGGCCACCATCTGGCTTTTGAGCTTGTACTCCCGACCTCTCTGGGCCTCAGTTGCTTCTTTATAATGGGGGCAGAAAGGGTTGGCGAGCTCTTTTACCTCCACCTTCCAGTCTCTAGTTGCACATGTGTGCGTCACCCCCCAGAGAGAGGATGGGGCCTGGAGTTCCTCTCATTTGTGCTCAGCGCGTCCATCGCCAGCATTTTTTTTTTTTTAAGATTTTTATTTATTTGACAGAAAGAGAGACAGAGAGAGAGGGAACACAAGCAGAAGGAGTAGGAGAGGGAGAAGCAGGCTTCCCGCTGAGCAGGGAGCCCGATGCGGGGCTCGATCCCAGGACCCTGGGATCATGACCTGAGCCGAAGGCAGACGCTTAACGACTGAGCCACTCAGGCGCCCCATCGCCAGCATTTGATACCCGCGCATGGAATTGGATTGTGGAAGTCTGCAAAACACCCGATTTCTTAGCTCTTTCGCACTCCTGCAGGGGGATCTCTTCAGCTGTGTGGCCCGTTGCAGCCTCACGCTTTCATATCCATTGTGAGTCTCCCAGTTCTTCCCACTGTTCCCAGTGGACTGAGGCCATCACAGTGGAAAGCCTGGCTCAACCCAGAAGTGGCCTTTCCTGGCCATGTGTCCAGTGGAGGTCATTGCTCTCCCAACATGGGGGCCCCATGTGAGCTCCCCCATGCACTGGGAGCCTCCTACTCAAGTAGGGTGCACATTCGACCTTTCTCCCCAGTGCAAGTCAGCTGCTCTTGCCCTAGGAGGTCAGCTGCAGCCACTTGGCCAGACACTGCAGGGGACGAGAGTATGAAGCCAGGTGGCCAGTCTAGAGGTTCAGCCTTCAGATGTCAGCCCCGTTCCAGGGGGAGCAGCATGGGCCCTGATGCTGGGAAAAAAGTAAGAGACAAGCACCTCCTCCAAAGAGTGTGGATGCCAGAGACAGCTCAGGTTTGAACACATATGGTAGGGAAAGGAAGACCAACTCTACTCCCTTGCGTTTCTCAAACTTTAGAGTGCAGGGGAACCTCTTAGGGAGATTCTTTGTCATCTGCCTCCCCAAACCTCACTCTCCAGCAAGTACAACTCAGCAGATCTGGGGTGGGGCCCTGGAATCTGGATTTGTAACAAGCACTTCTGCTGGCTCTGCTGTCCCCACCCACAGAGAGCAATTCCCCTGATCCCTGAGGAGAAGCCACCAGACTCCAGCTGTCCAGGCCACGGCCAGTGATCGGTGGGCCATCCACACACTGACCCGTGAGTGGTGAAGCTTGATCAAGCAACTGAGGCGAAATACCAGACAGAAAAGAAACTTGCCAGTTGGAGTAGGCCTTAAGCTAGTAGGTCATGTGGATCCAGGGCTGGGGGAGCCAGGTTGGGCCATGCTAGGATGTTAAACAGAGGAGGCAAATGGACTAGATGGCGCAAGAGAGGCAAAGATGCTGAGAAAGAGAGAGTGCGGGAGAAGGGGGAAGGGGGGAAAGGGGGGGGGGG